GTTAAATGTTTTTTTCCAAGATACACCAACCTATGACTAACACGAGACGATCATGTTCCTAATCCGAATTTATATGAATATCATGCATTTTGTTTAGATTATCAATAAGATTCCATGTGTGAAAGAGATTATTCCTAATTCTAACTACACATATCGATTTTACCGCATTCTAGACTTATTGTGAGCATTCTTACACTACAACAAGCAACTAACTACTTAATTGGTAATCGAGCAATAAGTAGTGTAATAAGTATATAAAATCAATCAAATAATAACACGAATTCCTAAATTGATGTCTTGAATTAAAATAAATGAAAATAAAGTTCAACATTCATCCAATAGAATTGAAAAACCTGGCCAACCATCCTAATTATTAAAGAATACGAAAATTAATGAAAAGACATCACCCGAATCGAGAAATAATGCAGAAAGTGGAGGAATCCAATTTCTTGGCTTGAATCTTGAAAAGGGATGAATATTTTTCAATAAACTTATATAATTTACCTTTGGTTGATGATTACGCCTCATTCTTCGCCTTCAAAATACGTAAAATATATGATTTTTAGGTCAAAAGGAGTCTCCTCCGTGTTCTAATCGAGTTTGGTATATATAGGATGCATAAAACATTGTTACTAAAGTAGAGTTTCAATTGAAAAATGAAATAAAATCTAGCCAAAAGTTTGTACTATGCGGTTGCATAGAAGGACGTCCAACCATCAATTTTGGCCATGGAATGCACGATGCGGTCGCAACAAATTAGACCTATGCGGTTGCATATGTATACGTTTTCTTTCTACCGGACAGCCTTCAGTATTTTGATCATATCTTTCGTTCCCAATATCCGATTGAGATGACTCAAAATGTGTTGGAAAGATAAATCAAAGAGATACAAATCTTCCAGAAGTATAATGTTTCCAATTCGAATATTTTCGTAGGCAAAAAATGGGTCTCAAACTGAGAGTGAAAATTCGAAGCATAACTTTTTTCGACTGAAAATTGATATGTGATAGTACTTGGACTATATTTCATCCCTTTGGCTTCTCTCCTCATCCAATTGATGCCTAAAACTCTCAAATCTTCATCGTCCAGTTCGACGTAACTTTTGAGTATTTACATTTCAGTCCCTGAACTTTGTATTTGATACAATTGAGCCATTTTCACTATCTTTGCATTCTTTTCTCTATTTCTTCACCAAACATTGATTTTTACCTACAAAATGAAATATAAGACAAGTTAGGTAGTATATCATCCAAAAAATAGTAAAATATCAGTATTTAGGACCTTTCATAAGTATAGATACTACACTTATCATTTCTCATTCTTCTGAATTAATTCTTCCCATACAAGCCTCAATTTGGACTTTCTTGATGCAACATCTCTTGTTTAAATGTTTTTGATAAATGTATTTTGTACACTTATTTCAATT